GAAACCAAAAAGATATGGATCTCTCTCTCTCTCTCTCTCGGTGCGAGAGCATAAGCACCCACGCATGCATGTATGGATGCATACTGCAGGCACACATGCATACATAGATGCACAAAAGTACATTCGCACATGCATACACACCTACATGTCATACATATCAGTCGTTGCGCCCAGCTCGGTCCTGACACGTCATGACCACGACATCTTGTAGAGCAAGACTTGGAGTGATCAACAGTAGCATGCAATATTCCGCAAGGAAGAAACACACCATGTATGTTACGTTAAGTGACAGACAGTTTGTCTCTGTTTGTTCCTACGTATGTATGTATGTATGTATGCATACATGCATGCCTGTGTGTATGCATGTATGCATGTATGCATTCATGATCAGTGCTTCCATTGAGATCAACCATGCTTCTCACAACTAGTCCCGACCCGAATGGGGACTACAGCATTCCCGCAAATGCATGCTACTCTCACAAAGCCCCTTGATGAAGCCGGAATAGAAACATGGCGAGCATCCCAAACCAGCAGACAGCTGTGCAAAAACCCCTGCACTAGTTAAGATCGACCTGAGGCATGAGAGTTTGAGAGCCTGAGGCCGATCAGACACCCGAAGTTTCCGACGCAGCCAGACGAGGTCGCTCGGCAAGCGCTCCACTACAGTTTTGGACTCTCAGCGAAGCTTGTCTTGACTACCTGCAACGGGGAAAACACTCGGAACCCTAAACTCAATGCCAGAGCGCTGAAGAAGTTCCGAATGTCTGCATCGGAAAGATCTTCCAATAGCTCCTTCAGGGCAGTGCATGCCGCCTGCTTAAGTGAAACAAAGCCTTTCTCCCACCATGACAAGGCTCTCACACCTGCCGGAACAGGGATTGACTCGTCGAAGGTGAATACTTGCAATGTGGAACATGTGAAACGCAAAACACAAGGGTGGCCAGTGACAGCACTTGTAGCCTTGCTTCTACACTTGTCAGTGTTACAAGTAATCCTTCCAGCTCGCAGTACCGGTATCCACTGGCAGCAGAAGTTCGAGCATTCGGAGGGAGAGGCAGTTGCGGAACCAGTCCGGACTGTCTCTGAAAAAGCAATCCTGGGAACAATAGGCCACCAGAGACACACCGCGCATGAAAGACCCCAAACATGGGAGGGAAGTTCTCACACCGGAAGCTCCAAACCCTTGAAACCCCATTCATTCCTACTCCGAAAGGTTTGGACAATCTACTTTCCAACCACAAACCCTTATAGCGGGTTTTGGACTGGAAGCTCGCGAAGCATTCCCCTGCATACACTCCGATTTTGGTGCACAAGCGATTTCCTGCGCCCCACATGCCGTAAACAGCATTTTGGAGTGACGGCCAAGTTCTGTGGCGACTTCATTGGCCTTAAGCCGGAGAAATTCCTGACCCCGAAACCCTAGAACCATAAACCGGATTCTGGACTGGAGACCATGGAATTCCCTACACCGCAGGCTAAATCACACCATTGAAGCCGTCCTCGGCCAGCACGCTGGCATCTAGAAGTGCGCTGTAGACCTCTCGGGACTGCTCGGGTTTATGGAGTTATAGTGTCTAAAGACTTTTGGGAGGTTGTAGAGTTCTAGGGCTTAGGGACTTTAGGCTGCAACAAAGCATAGCCAGCTGTGTCCATCTAAAATGAAAGACATCCCGAACCCTGCAGCCTGACAATGCTTTTGCAACAAGGCCGGACAACCGTGCTCTCAGCCTGTCCGACATCTTACTATGGCTGTCTGCACACGGAAATCCTAAGGATCGACACTTCCTGCCGCACAAAGCCCTAAAGACGTTGGAACTCATGAGATAAGGTCTAGTCTAGGTCCTGGGGTACTACATGCTCTCACTACTGGTACCTGCTCCCGGCAGGTTATTTTCGGGAGCTAAAGCAGTGCTGAAGCGTCTCTTCTTGGACCCGAAAGCCGACACCAAAGCTCCCCGTCGAGGGCTGCAGACAGAACAACCCCCTTTTCTCTGACCAGAAGCTTTGCACCCAATCTTCAACTCTCTAGCCAACTCTAGTTAGATAGACCGTAAGCCATCTTCACCCCTGGCCCTGAGCCCTACTGGAGCAAACCTCTGTCGGGTCGGCCGAAGGCGTCAGCAGCGCTCTCATGTTGGCCTTGTCCGGCTCGTGGGGATTCGAGGATTAAGCCTTCGAACCTTTAAGCTCCTCTAGGCTTGGGCTTGGAGAAATGTTGGCCCACAAAAACCGAGCGAGTTCGGCACTTCTTCTGGTGGCGGAATGATGGTAATAGTATAGGTTTCAGAAGCCAGGCCCCAGAAACCTCTCAGCTACCATCTGTGCAGTGAAGACCGGCACCACCATCCCAAGCAACAGGGAGGCCTGAAGAGGGATAGCAGCCACTGTATCGCTGTCCACCGTTCGCATGGCAACACCTGGGCCGTTGAAAAGGACGAACAGTCGTGGACAGGAATGCTGCATGTTCGGGGTCCCTCGGGAACCCTCTTGACCGGGAATTGGTTCGGACCTGCCGCCTGGGTTTGGGCCTGGTCGGCTTCAGTCGGGTTTGGGAAGTAACCCTCAAACAAACAGGCGAACGAAAACTAGAACCCTGCGCCGGGGAGCAGGCAACAATATTTCCGTGGGCAGGGCCGTGTATCATGTATTGTATTGCACTGTGTCCATGCATGTTCATAAAACCTCCACTCGACTCACCAAGCGGACAAGCGAGGTCAAGGCGAAATATACTATGCCCGATGCGTCAGAAGCACCGACCATGCCAAAGACGAAGTAGCTGTGGACGAACTCAACACGCTCCTGCAAAGGGAAGGAAAAATTGGACCACGAAGCCACAGAACTTACCAGAAAATTAAGGAGCACGGCTTGCAAGCCTGCGTGTACGAAAGAAGCAAAGCCACTTTGACTGCAGCTTTCTAGTGGGAAAACTCACGAACTTCTTGGCCTTCAACCAGGTCTTACAGTCTCGCAACGCCCGCAAGACTTGACCAAGTTGGGGGTACAAGGCTGTCAATGATAAGAGCACGCTACCATGCCGGAGAACCACGCCCTCTTGCAATGATCGCTTCAAAATCAGCCTTCAGCACAGAAGGGTCCAAGCGCTGCGGGATGGTCACCTTTGTGCTGTGGCCGCAAAGGCTTTCTAGTCACTTCTCAAGAAGAAGGCAGAGAAGGGTCCGCGTGAGCTGTCAAGTGCACAATAGGGCAGATGGCCCGGAGATCTGCATGCGGGGCGCTTACCAAGCACGGGCACTTCTAGTCCGGCGTTCTAGGCATAAGATGCAGGCGCTACTTCGAGATTCGAAGACTGTTGAAACGCGGGAGCTTCTGACCCGTCTGCCCAGGGGCATGGATCCGGCTGTCTAGCCGGCCTTCCACCAATGCCAGCATGGCATCCAAAAGCAGCGCTTTCCTCAACAGTCGTTCGGCTGAGAAGGAATTCAGGGTTTCCGACTTGGAGAATTATAGGATTATGATTAATATAGGGGCCTTAATACCCCCAAGATAGTATTGGTAATTATTTACGCCCTTACATCAGGATTATCATTGACACGGGCAGCGACCGCAGGCCGGAAGGCCTGGGGGTGTTGCACCACGCAAGGTGACAAGGTCAGAGTACAAGACCTGGTTTCAATGTTGTAGGGGCCTTAATAAAAAGAATAGGGTTTTGGGCCCCATTATACCATAATTAAAATAAGGAGCCCCCAAAACCTTATTCTAATTATTAAGGCCCCTATATTATGTTTCAATCAATTTGCAGGAGCTTTAGGGGAAAGAGGTCGGGGAATTCAAAATTCCATGTTGTTGCTGCATTCGGGACTCGGAGACCTAGGTTGAGGAGCTGGTCTTGTCCCTTGCTCGGCAATCTGTGACTGCAGCGGTCTGCGGCATCAAGTTGGGTGAGAACGACAAAACAAACCCACAGCCTCAGCATTGAATTTCTCTTCCAAGATGCAGCCTCCGGACTGTTGGCGGGTAGATGTCCCCTCGAGCCAAGGCTGGGAGAAAGGGGGGATTCATGGATTATTATGATTTTAACCCAAACCCTCCAGGTGCAGAGTGCTGGAAGAGGGGCCCGGCCCGCTATTCGGTTCATCCCAGCATCCCAGCGATAGCTTCAACAACGATGACCACAAAATACTTCAGGATTCTTGCAAAACAAATCTGTTCATCAGCACGGGTCGTGCCATCTTTATCGTTGTGGCGGTGTCGATTCCGTGCTCGACATTCTACAGTTGCCATCAACACCACTGCTACTACAACCGCAAAACAACAGCCCTACTACTAAAAAACAACTACAACTACAACTACAACTACAACTACAACTACAACAACGACAACTACTACCACTACTGCTGCTACCGCTACTGCTTCTGCTTCTGCTTCTGCTACTGCTACGGCTACTGCGAAGGGTGCGGCTACTTCTACTGAGTCTACTGCTGCGGTTACTGCTGCGTCTACGGCAACTGCTACGGCTACCGCTGCTCCTACTCCTCCTCCTCCTCATCCTACTACTACTACTACTACTACTACTACTACTACCACTACTACCACTACTACTACTACTACTACTACTACTACTACTACTACTAGTACTAGTACTAATACTAGTACTAGTACTACTACTACTACTACTACTACTACTACTTCTACTACCACCACTACTACTACTACTACTACTACTACGACTACTACTACTATCACTACTACTACTACTACTACTACTACTA